GAAACTAGAGCGGCGGACCGCTGGGCCCCCCCGCCCGCCTTCTCCGGAGCGAGAAAAGCTGCTCCCCGGAGCGAGAAAATTCCCTGACAGCCAGAGGGGAGACGGGAGCAAAGTGGCGGAGCACCGGGGGCCGGACCCACGGCCGCTTCCAGATCAGCTGGAAGCAGCCACGGGTCCGGCCCCGGGTCCTCTGCCGCTTTGCTCCCCATCTCCCTGGTCTGCTGGGTCCCCCAGCAGACCAGGGAGACGGGGAGCAGCTTTTCTCTCCCCGGAGGAGGTGGGCGGCGAGACCAGGCGTCCCGCCACTCCAGTCCTCCGGGGCGAGAAAATCCCCGTTCGTAACTGCGGATCCAACATAAGTCGGATCCGCGTAACTCGGGGACTGCCTGTACTTTCTAAAAATGGCATCAGTAAAAAAGTTTCTTCGCATTTTCCCAAAGTAGAAGAGAAATATTATGATATAAGCAATATTGAGAGGTAGTTATTTGTCTCTATCAGTTGGGGATTGGATTACACTAGAGCACAATAGCCACAACCAGCTCATATAGACTGCCAGGGCACAGAAACAACCTCCATTTGCTAGCACAAAAAATCCCTTTAAGCTTTGATAGTCTTCATGAGCTGTCATGTTCTGAGTTCTATCAGCTTTTCCTTAGAAAATCCTTTTACTTTGGAAACAAGCAATAAAAATAAAAATATATTAAATATTTTCCTAATTTTACTGTTCCTCCTCACCATTTCCATAGATATCACATGGAAGATATTTGATCACTTAATGGGGCCAGTGGGCCATGCAATCAAGAACAGAAGAGTCACTAGGCCTGATTCTCCTCTTTATATTGGGATAGCTCCATTAATTTCAGAGGAGTCCTCCTTGCTGAGAAGAGAATTATATACATTCTCCCTATTGAGATGAAGTCCACAATACAAAAACAAAAGCCCAGAGGCTTTCTGGTTTAACACAAAACAATTCACTTGACCAGTATTTATCAGAGATAATTCTTCCCAGACTAGTAAAATTGTGATTTAACAGTTCAACATTAACTATTTCTGTTACTCAATATATAGTGAAGAAAGAACGTTTTTTTATTCTAGTTGTTTTTTAAGGTAATTAGATAATTCTGATCATACCCTCAAGGTATCAAAGGTTTGCAAGATACCTACTGTGACATCAGTTAAAGCATCTATTGTGATGCTTCTCCTCCGAGCATCTCCCTTGAGGGTCCAGCCCCCCACACCAGGGCTTAGAGGAGATCCTCAGAGAGTAGGAAATCCTCCTACAGCAGGATACACAGAATCTTGGGGCCCTTTATGCCACTTTAATCTTCTACCATGTGTAGAGGAGCCAGAGTAGGAGTAAGGATTTCATCCTGAGTATCTAAGTTAAATGATACAGTGATTATTCCTATATATGAATATTGTGAATCTATATTGCATTCTCATAAGCACCTTGCAAAATTCCCACTGACTTGAGTGGCAGCCAGACTGGCCCATAACTGTATTTGAAAAATTGGTTTAATCAGACAAAGGTTTAGTAAAGCAGACAGTTTTGCCCACGAACAGGGCACCGACAGCCTGCATGAGCTGTTGAGCAAGGTATTTGGAGAGGAGGGGACTCCATGCTCCCAGAAGGGGAAGGGCCTCAGGCAGAAAGGGGCAGGGCAAAAGGTAGCTAGCCCCTAGACCACATGGAGTACATAGTGCAGTCCTCCAGCAGCAATTTAATGGGTCTGGGGCTCCAGCTGCTGCCACCGCTGCAGTTGCAGTGGTGGCAGCTGGGAGCCCCAGGCCCGTTTGAATTGCAGGGCAATTGTCCCCTTTAACTCTCTCTCCCCTTGAATCAGCAGGCCTGCCTATGATTTAGAAAGCTTGCAAATAGTTATCTATGGTTCAGTATTAAAGAAATTAATTATGTTCAGCCCAGATAGGTAAAATAACGAATAAAATATGTTTGGGGTCAAGAAGTAGGGACTCACTGATTAAATCCCACAGAGAGATATTCAGGTGTGTTGTGTTTTTTAAATTTAGACAATGAGTTCAGAAGAAACAACTCACTTGATTGAAATAGAGTTTCTCTTTACTTTAGGAGAGATGTTATACATTTTAACTAAGTCAGGTCAAGAATATCCAGAGCAGAAATATTTATCGAAGAATATGAAGACTTAAAAATACATATTTAGATTGTTACCACCAGGTTAAGTGGCACAAGGACTGGAACTGCCCTGCTACATTTTCAGGATCAAGATTTTAAACAGATATCTGAGACATCATTGGCTATGTGCATGGAGGCTGTTTTCTGAAGAAATTGACACAGGGCAACAACAGACCAAGAGGCCTTAACACACACAATGGTTGGATAAGTACAAAGCAACTCCTTATGACCAGCTGAGAAATTATGAGAAATGAATGAATAACACTGATGTAATGTTCAGGACTTCTACATATAGAAACCTCCATTAAAAGAGGGTGATTTAACTTTGTAAAGCCTACAGTCATGTTGGACATGTTTAGTTTGGCTACACACCTACACATTTCACACATTTATAGATCTATTTGGAGATACTTTAACAGTAAAAGACAAAAATGTTTCTTAAAAAAATACAAAGCAGTTTTTATTAACGAATTTACAATAAGAATCAATTGAAATGGCAAAAAATAATTAATACACATGGATCTTGTAAAACAATACATAGTAGCTGGTCTGTCAACCTAGAATACTAGGACTGGAAGGGACCTCAAGAGGTCATCGAGTCCAGCCCCCCGCCCTCAAGGCAGGACCAAGCTCCGTCTACAACATACTAACACAAAACAGGGACAACAGAAAATGTTACTGAACTTCCCATTTTTCAATGCTCTAACAGCTCCCTTGTAAATATGAAGGGCCAAATCATCTTCTGTAGTAAACTGGGTTAGCTTCATTGAAGTAAAGGAAAATATTCCAGTTTAGGAGCAATACCACATACTCCTAAACTGGAATATTTTAGGGGGGTGAGAGGTGGATTGCAGTTTCTACATTTTCTTTTCAAATACTTAGTTTATTAATTGCCTTCTATTAAAACAAGAATTTGTCCAAGAGACACTATGTCTAATTTCCTTGTGCAGGATTAGCCAGGTTTGATCTTCTAGCCTTGGTAACATGTAAAATAATATAACAGACTTGGGGGTGGGGGGGGAGAAATCAAGGATTGTCACTGAAGGTGAATTTATTTTTTAAAATCAACCTGACTAATCTCCTTTGTCACATTAATATAATTACCACTATTCTTCTACTTAAGACTCCCTTTAAGGGATTGCCTGTTTAAATGATAATGCCAAAAGGGTATGCAAGAGCAGTATTATAGATATTTGTATGCAGTCTTGGAAGAGTCTGCTGATGTTCAGTTTAGTCAACAGATAACGCTAAAAAATTAAAGGTAGGGCTCTAGATTGGTATATACCATAGTTAAATGGACGAAGGGTACTTCAAGCATTAAGAATTTGTAACAGTTCAACCGTTTTCCATAAAGAGTAATAATATTTTTCAGTAAAAAACACTGATTCAAATATTTGGCTTTTAAGCAAGAATAGTGCTGCAGAGAAACAAATAATTCTCATTGCAAATAATAGCTATTTCTAATGTAAAAAAACATAAAGAAACTAGTTCTCAGGCTGAACTAGTTAGAAGAATTACATTGTATACACACACACACACACACACATTATAAAAAAAGTAAAAGTGTATTGTAGAAGGCTCTTTAAGTCAAAGTAGTGCATTTAATAGTGGTGGGCTCTTCAGATTTAAAACAGGTTACTTTAGACTAAGATTTTTCTTTAGTTCTCATAGTCTTGGGAAGTTTATTTCTTGACTTGTAGGCCCTTTGTTTCTTACTCCCTGCTTAAAAAAAAAAAAAAAAAAAAAAAAAAAAAAAAAAGTAGAGTTAGGAAAAATAGCATGACAGAGTGTCATCATTCCTCACTTGTTCCCCTCCCCCACCCTCCCATCATGTTTATTATAGAAGTCATTCTGATAGCAACAGTTGTAACTGACGTTGCAGAACATTTCCCATTATATCTCTGATTACGCATGTTCTAACCTTTCCAAAATGTTCACCTTTGAGGTTGAAATTTTCCTTGACTGCTCTTAAGAATCAGTCTGGAAAGAACAAAAATCTCTCCAGCTATTTTTAAGTTATAGCAAAAACAGAATTTTCCCCCTTTACAATATTTTTTCAAAGAATGTGGTTAAACAAGCAATAAAACAGAGCCAAAGTTTAAAAGTTAACTGTACTTTTGCCAAGTTAAAAAAACTGTTTTGTTTCACAGTAAGTTCAAAGCGTTTGAAGACTACATACTGTGTATAGCCAGTCTATTTGTTAATTCAGAACACAATAAAGGCTAGATGCAAATCCCACTAGGGGTCTTTCCACTGACATCAGTGGGGTTTGGATCAGGCCTTTTCAGTGCCTGTGAGCAGGGCTTGGGAAGTGTGCACTTTTCAAAAGTGATGGAGACACTTCTCTAGGACTTCCTTTTAATTTGCATCCATATGCCCTAAGGTCAGATCTCAGCTCCTTTGTTTCCCTCCTAAAGCCTCAGATTTTTAGGGGGGTTTATTGTTGAAATTAAGCAGGCACTTTCTTGACACTACTTGAAGTGCCATAAGGTCATAGATCCATTTGTAGAACCAATATTTAGTCAAAGGAAAGAAAACGGTCACCATAACAAGGTGGCAGAAGAGACACCTGGGGGAAGCAAAAGGTACTAATACTGCTTAAAAGTTGCTCACAATAGCACTCTCTAGTCCAGGCATGTCAAACTGGCATTTGGAGGGCTGCATGCTGCCTGACTGAAATTTTTTGTGGCCTGCCAGAACATTTTTATAAGAGAATGAAGTGCGGCCCGCTGGCCGCTCAGAGCACGTGACCGAGTGCCTGCTCACAGCTGGCCGGGCCGCTCTGCGCCACAGCGATTGCTCACGGCTGGTCAGGCTGCTCTGCGAGCACGCTCATGGCTGGCTGGGCACTCTGCGCTGGGCTCTCCAGCAGGCGCTCACAGCTGGCCGCTGTGCTCATGGCACCCCAGCACCTCAGGCAGCAATGTCTACTCTGGTACCCAGGTATCAGGTTGGGGGGCGCTGGGAGAGCCTGGCTCTGGGGCAGGGGGATGGCATTAGGTTGGGGGGCCTGGCTCTGGAGGAGTGGAGGTGCATTGGATTAGAACGGGGGTATGGGAGTGCCTGGCTCTGGGGGAGAGGAGGCAGTTATTGTTAATGTATTTATTCCCAAATAAAAACAAGTATAGACCATGGTTAATCAAATTTCAGCTGCTTTGTAAGTTTGAGATTTTGCATAAAGATATAATTATTTAAGCAATTGCAAAAGTTGACATTTATTGATATTAAATATACATTTTGTGATTTTTTTTATTTCAACCAGAAAGTTATGGATCATATACAAAATTTAAAAGTACCTTAAATTTATAATTAAAAAATATGTAAAATTAATTTTAAAAATTAATGTGAACAATTTTACATGTCAAGTTATTGTATTATAAAATATACCTAAAACATAATCTAATAATAAATAACTACAACTTTCTGACAATGTACATTTTCTTCGGTGGCCCTAGGGTTGCCAGGTGTCCAGTATTGGTGCCTTCTGCCTGGCACCTAAAATGCATTTTTTTGATTGACAAACCATCTGGAACCCTAGGTGGCCCTGAAAGCCATCAGTTTTCATTTGTGTGGCCTCAGTAGGCTTCGAGTTTGACCTGCCTGCTCTAGTCTGTACACTACAAATGCATACATGCACTGCAGTACAAACTAACGCTATTACCCATCAGGTGGGCAGTGTCTATTAAATCTCAAGGTACAGTTTGATGAAGAGGCTGCTTTGCTTCTCTTGGGTTTTCCCAACTAGTGCCTAGTGGTTTTATTTCTTTATTCCATCCCTTCCCACACACTTAAAAAATAAAATAAAATAAAATAAAAAATAAAAAGAGCAAGAGAGAGAAACCTGCATTAATGAATGAAGCATTGCAGGTGCTAATGAGCTCTCAGATTGTAAAAGCTAAAGCTGAATGTTCAGCCTTATTCCTCTTGTTGTGCATATGCAAAGTGTCATTGTCTTACCTTGTAATTATGCTAAATAGCATGACCAAAAAGAGAGTTTACATTGGGGTGAACATTGGGTTCTTTTGTGACCTCCAGAAGGAGAACTATTTAGGAGTCACCTCCTATTTACCTTATTCAAGTTATTAGACTCATTGAAGTCAATGGGACTATTTTTAAAAGAAAACCTGGATAGGGCCCCCTGGGTCATTTTCACCAACTGCACATTGGTGATAATGCTGGACCCAAAGTACTGAGAGTGTAATGTTTCTAAAGTGGGCTGGGGGTGAAAAGTTTTGTACAAATGCTAGTTAATATGCACATTTTGAATAGTAAAAGAATAAAAATCTTACCTTTCTTGCAGACATTGAAACAATCTTTTATAGTAACAAAGTTATTGGCATTTCCACCACAACCCGTATAGCTAAACTCCTCACATGACTGACTCTTTGGATTGTAGTAATAGCGGGTAACAGAGGATGAACACGATCCTTCATCTTTTGGGCTATAGCATAATAAGGGCCCAGCTTTAAAAAAAAAGTACCATAATGTTCAATATCTGACTTGCTATATGGAAACCCCTTCCCCCCCCCCCAAAAAAAAACATGCCACAGCTTGGGGGGCAATCTTGCACCAATTGAAATAACTGATTACCAGTCATTCCACACTGCATTTGAGACTCAAGCAGTTTTCTGTAGACAATGCTGTGCATCTGATCAATATGAATGACTTGGAGCCATATGCTACTTTCTTACACATTTATATTGGAATAGCTTCAATAGGACTTTGCCTGGAAGTATGGAAGGCATAGTTTCACCCTTCATCTATTCCATGATTTTACAAGTACAACTAAATAAATAACTTGCATAAAAGCATTGTATTAAAACAATTAGGTTAGCTTTTTTCTTATCAGAATTGTGTCTTGGATATTGGTGATATTTGCCCTGTCATGAAATGTGCAAGAGAAACTAAACAAGATTATTTTCACCCATGAAAATATTGTCAAACCTGTCATGAGCCAAAATTAATGAAGATGTCATAATGCATTTTGCAATGGTTAGTTATTCATCTAATATTAGTTTTTATGCATCTGGGATACATTTATTGTTCCATTACAAAATTTAGATATAGTTACTGTAATCAGTAACCATGTTTCTTCTTTGAAGAAGAGCCAATGAGTTACAACTCTCAATTAAAGTTCTTTGCCTTCTGAGAAGAAATTAGTGCCAGAAACAAACAAGGCAGCATCTCTCAGGTCTTTAATTTTAGCAAACCACTCTCTCTGAACTCCAGGTGTCATCCATCTAAAGCCCAGCAACTCACTGTGGCAACATGCACACACCCCACCAAATTTTTCCCTCAATTATACCTCTACAGTTCCTCAGAAATCAAAGGGTTGTGTGGGTGTAACTGTTAGACATGATTCAAGTTGCAATATAATATTTTTAGATTGGTGGTTTGGCCCTTTATGTAACAGGCAGCAGGGGTTGATCATACCTGAAAGTCTGTGGGCAAATATGACATCATGCACAAACCATGCTCAGAAACACTTTATAGCAGTGAGGAAATATCAAACTTGAAATAGAGGCAAAGACTATTTTAAGGTAGATCTTAATAGGTAATAAGAAAAATATTGATAAACACCATCTTTTTCAGCACGAGAACTGTAAAAATAAGCTATTGTAGTAGAATGTTGAAGTAATAATTACTTTTTTCAGGCAAACAGTAGTCCACACATGATTCTTTATCTTGGAAGTTGTTATCATTTCCATAGCATCCACCATAGATGAATTGTTCACATTTCATTGAACTTAGGTTGAAGAAATATTTTTTTAGGTAACCTCTACATGGTCCTGGATCAGCCTCCAGTCTGCATATTTTGGGCACTTCTATAACAAAAAGCACTTAAATATCAAAACATAGTTAGCTTAAACTATTACATCTTGTCTGGCATGCTTTCCATTGGCAAAAATTATTTCTCAACTTATTTAACATCTGCCAAAATGCTTAGAGATAGGATTATAGAGATTATTAAAATACTACATTAGATTGAGCAACTAGTGAGCTAGATGGCATTTTAACACATTATTCGTATCTTTAAAACACTAGGGACACTAAGCTGGGGGGGAAGGTAGATATGCTGGAGGGAAGGGATAGGGTCCTGAGTGACCTAGACAAATTAGAGGTGTGGCAAAAGAAATCTGATGAGGTTCGACAAAGTCAAGTGCAGAGTCCTACACTTACGACAGAAGAATCCTAAGCACTGCTACAGTATGGGGACTGACTGGCTAAGTGGCAGTTCTGCAGAAAAGGACTTGGGGATTACAGTAGACAAGAGCTGGAAATGAGTCAACAGTGTGCCCATGTAGCCAAGAAGGCTAACGGCATATTGGCTGCGTTAATGGAAGCATTGCTAGCTGAGCAAGGGAAGAGCTTATTCCCCTTTGACACTAGTCAAATACTGCATTGCATCCAGTTTTGAGTCACCCACTAGAGAAAGTGGACAAATGGACAAAAGTCTAGTGGAGACTAACCAAAATGATTAGAGGGCTGGGGCTCGTGACTTATGAGGAGAGACTGAGGGAACTGGGCTTATTTAATCTTCAGAAGAGAAGAATGAAGGGGGATTTGATAGCAGCCTTCAATTACCTGAAAGGGGGAATTCCAAAGAGGATGGTGGTAGTAGATGACAGAACAAGCTGCAATGGTCTCAAATTGCAATGGGAGGGATCTAAATTAGTTTTTTCCCTAATATCTGTTTCACTAAGAGTAGGTTGCCTTCAGAGGTGGTGGAATGTCTATCCTTAGAAATTTAAGGCAAGGCTTGACAAAGCCCTGGCTGGAATGATTTAGTTGTGGTTGGTCCTACATTGAGCAGGATGCGGGATGGGGGTAGGGGTGGGGAGAGAGAATTGGACTAGATTACCTCCTTAAATCTCTTCCAACTCTAATCTATGAAATATGTCCATCCATTTTAGTCCTTTCCTCAATGGAATGGCTTTAGTGGTTAAGCCAATAAAGCCCTACAAAGCCTCCATTCTGTGGGGGGTTTATACTAGCTAGAGTTGCAAGCTAGTACTGGTAATGCTGCTGCTATTACAGCTATCACTGGCAAAAAGATAAATTCAGGAGAAAAGCAATCAGCAAAACCCACTAGTGGCTGTGTCTAGACTGGCCAGTTTTTCCGGAAAATCAGCTGCTTTTCAAGAAAAACTTCCAGCTGTCTACAGTGGCCGCTTGAATTTCCTCAAAAGCACTGACTTCCTCCTGTAAGAAATCAGTGCTTCTTGTGGAAATACTATTCTGCTCCCATTCAGGCAAAAGTCCCTTTTGCGCAAAGCTTTTGTGCAAAACGGCCAGTGTAGACAGCTCAGATTTGTTTTCCACAAAAAAGCCCTAATCACGAAAATGGCGATCAGGGTTTTTTGTGGAAAAGCGCATCTAGATTGGCATGGACGCTTTTCTGCAAAAAGTGCTTTTGCAGAAAAGCGTCTGTGCCAATCTAGACGCTCTGTTCCAAAAATGCTTTTAACGGAAAACTTTTCTGTTAAAAGCATTTCCGGAAAATCATGCCAATCTAGACACAGCCACTGAGAAAGGAAACCTTCACTTGCTCCCAGGAGCTTCTTGATGTGGAAAGTTGTAATAGTATCACACCTGAGAGCTACTAGCTAACATGTCACTTGATCCAAAATGATAAACATACATATGCAAGCTACAAGTGTTCAGGTTGGACCTCCGTGGTGTGGCACCCTCAGGACCGGACCAATCCGCATGAGGAATTTTGCTGTACCAGAGAAGGTCATTTCTGGGCCCAACTCGGTCACCAGCCTCCCCAGCCATGGCCTCATTGCCAGTTGGCTTCCCCCTACTGCTGGGCCCTCCACACACAGGGCTCCTGGCCCCGACATAGCAGACCTTCTGCTGCCATGCACAGCCCCACTGCCAGGCTCTATCCACTCGGGGCAGCCCCCACCTGGGATCCAATTGCGCTGTGGGCGACAAGCCCTGCTTGAGCTTCAGCCTCACTGGGCATCCCCACTGCCTCCCAGTCTCACTAGGCAACTCTGCCGGGTGGCAGTGGGGCTGCCAAGCTTTTTGCTGCACCACTGGCAAGCCCCGCTCCCAGGTTCCTGATTCTGTTGCCAGGAAGCCGCACTGGGCAGCTGAGCTGCTTGGCAGTAGCGAGGCTGCCAGACTCCTGGTTGTGCTGCTGGGCAGCCCCCATTTTCGCTGCTTGGCTCCAGCCCCGCTGCCTCCCATACCCCACCCCGCACCGTGCTGGTACCAGGCAGCAGTTTTGCTGCTGGGCTCCCCGTTTCACTGCCACAGGGTGGCCCAGCTACTGGGCTCTAGCCCCACTGCAGAGCTCCCAGCCACCAACCCTCCACAAGGACTCTCTGGTCCTGGGACATGCCAGGCCAGGAATGTTGCCCGACCAGGGAATCCGGGGGTTCAGAGAGGTTCAACCTGTATTAAGTTAGGCAGCTGAAAGGAAATGCTTTTTAAAATAGAATTTTGGATGGATGCCTTCCAATTTATGAATCTTCATCCGAATCAACGTTCCCCAGAAGTTCAGGGACGCTTTTAGTCAGGGGAATGTGTAGCCACAGGTATGGCTGCGGGGGCAGAGAGGATGCAAAGGGGCCATGGGAATATTAATGAGACACACCACGACGGGGCTTTCTGAGCCAAGAGGCGCCCATGCCGACCTGTGCAGGAAGCACACGCCTCAGAAGGTCTAGTACCTGCACTGGGGGGACAGAAGCAGCCGTCAGCGTCCCTTCCTGCAAAGCTGGGCAGTGAACTATTCCCCGCGCAGGCTGTCCAAGAACCCGAGGCAATTCGGGGAGAGGCGGGGGGCGCCTGTGCCTAAGCAAAGGGACTTACTCCTGATCATCCAGCAGCTCTTCTCGCAGCTCTCCAGGCTCCTGAAGTTGTTGGCGTTGCCCTCGCAGCCCCCATAGGTGAACTCCTGGCACGTCTGCGTGTACCTGTTGTAGTACCACCTCGGGAGGAGCGCGCGGCAGGGGCCTTCCTCTGGGGGCAGCAGGCAGGTCGCTTGGTTCGGCGCTGTGGGGAGAGACGGGCGCTGTCAGGGGCCACCGGGGGCAGCGCGCACGTGGGCAGCTCCCGGGCGCAGCAGGGAGAGGGGAGGGAAGCCGAGCTAGAGGCGGGAGAAGCGCAGGGGGGGGAGCAACGAGGCAGGACGCCCA